ACTGTATGAGAGGCATTGACCAATTGTATGCACTGGTTAACGTTAAAGTGGCGAGTGGTATGGAGCATGTATAATACGTGTGAATGCACCTGTGTAGAAACCTGTAGCACATCCGAAAGACAGTTGCCAAGACTACTTGGCAAAACAAACAATCACCCCAACAAAAACAAATAAACAAACAAAAAACACACCTGTAGTGTGTTGAAATAAAGTAACTATTCGGCACTTTGTTGGTCAGGGCTTACAATGTGTAATGCGTGCACATGTACATGTACCGGTACATGTACTCACAAATTTAGATGCACTGAATACTGACATTGTTTATTAGAGGTTAGAAATTTTACTTTCTAAGTAAAATTAATTCATTTGTCATAATTTTAAGACTTACAGTATTTCTAATTTTCCCTTTGCCCCAGAAATTTCCATAAGCTACATGTACATGTACATACTGTCATCAGTGCTTCATTTAGAGGAGGAAATGTGAACAAACACATCTGCCTGAAATCGTTTGTGCAGATTTGCGAAAGAATGCTACACATTTTCCGTTGTTCATAAGAGAGACATGCTATGAACAACATGCAAAGGTGACCTTATCCAGGACAGATTTTCATGAGTTGATGACACACGTCAATTGCTGATACTCAGTGGCAAATGAAGTGACAGAACATGTACATACATGTGCATGTATGTACAACTGTAGATTCATCCAGGATTACAGTTCTTTTTTTGGACAGCATTTCAGAAAAGTGACATTCTCATGGAAAATCTTTGCATTGTTTTAAAGAAAATGTAACAAAAAGTGAAATACGGAGAGAATGTATTCTTCAAACCAATCCCACGGTTGAATGTACAGTATATGTACCGGTAACTCACATATAATCTTGTTGAATTTGCCATGGTCAAAAATTTTAACCACTTCCTGCTGGGGACTCTGGAATCGGAGACGTACATGTATACTTTATATGCGTGACCGGGGTCTCAGAACTCAGACAAAGGAAACAGGGCCCTGTAACAAAAGACCATACTCTGAACCAGTATTGTAGTCGAGTACTTTTTTCCGAGTACCAAGTACTGCCGAGTACTTTGACTGCCGAGTACAAAGACAAGGCGAGTACTATGCCAGCCGAGTACAAGTACTGGTTTCTGAGTACAAGTACTTGCACTTCTGAGTACGAGTACAAGTACTGCTAATTCAAAAGTAGAGACTCTGAGACCTGTCACTGTGTAAAAGAAACACTGAATGCAGATGACATGGCTACAAGAACAAGTGATCTGGCTAGCAATGTCACGGTCACTACACGTGCGTTGCAGCAGTTGACACAAAGTGCACGGCGCGCGAAGTCTATTTTCCAGACTCAATTATTCTCATTCCTGTGATTTTCTGTATGCTGGGTTCGTTGTTAGAATTTTTGGGTCCAGGAACCAGACTACCAATGCCCCAAGTAAATCATGGGACCATTCTGGAGTACAATATAATTTGCGTACGTTATTGGTTAAGTACGCGCACAGACGGCGAATGGGTCGTATACATTAATGGTCCCACGTTCGGCCTTCTCTTTGTCAGAACCCTATCGAATATCGGGTCATTGAAGTCGATATTTTTGTACTTTATTTTAACGGCCATTGTAAGTTAACTTAAAGGATTTTTTTATCAAGTACTGTTAATCCAGTACGAGTACTTTGATCCTCGAGTACAATTTTGAATGTCGAGTTACGAGTATTTTGTAGCCCGAGTACAAGAACTGTAGTTCAAGTATGAGTATTTGGATGTCCGAGTACAAGTACGAGTACTCTGAAAACGGTACTCGAGTACGAGTACCGCAACACTGCTCCGAACAAAAGACCAGGCTGCTGGGCATTATTGACATTTTTCACTCTCAAAAGTACTGATAATCCAGCCTTGTTTTGAAACCGTATACCAGGGTTTGGGGCATTTATAGCGAGCGGATTACCACCAGGGACAAAAGCGCTCCACCACCACAGCAATGAGCCACACAGCACCACTGCACGTTAATCTGGCCCCTACCGAAAAAAGGTCAGCAGTGCAATGAGCCAGGTTCGTGAACAAAAGAAAGTTACATAACACTGCACAATCTGGGCTCTTTTTACAAGGCTGCAGGCCTGGCTGAAATACTCGGGCGTCAATGAAGGTCACCTGTCAACTTAGCGTAGTGCCTAAAGATTACTTTGTGCGGCTAAAAACGTCTGTTAAATGAAATGATGAATTTTTGAAGAATTTTTAAAACAAAAAAAATGATAATTATACCGGCCCAGCATCATCAACATTGAAAAATGCCCCGGCATGAAGTGGTTAAGTAAAATTTACAAATTACTAAAAAAAAACATTAAAATAAAAAACCCAACTTTGGAGAGCACTTAAACACATCAAGATCAGCTCAGAAATGTCAGGTACATGTAGGTCCTGATGGGTTGCAGGTACATGTACCGGTACCCAAGTGGACAGGCCTACCCAAGCCAGAGGCCTTCTACATCTCCCCTGAAGTGGTGTGTAAACACTGTTACTCCAGCTGGGCTTAATGAAATGCATGTTTAAAGAGGCATTTAGGTAGGCATTTTAAAGGGCTCAGCAAAATAAGAAGAGAGCCACAACACAATTTATCAATTTCTGGCTAGCTCACTTGACAGGTTCCCATTTGACAAGCTTCTGATGCAGACGTGTCATTTCTGGGGTGTATAATATTTGGCACTGAGGCAACGGTGACGTTACCCTCGAATGCAAATTGACTCTGACATCAATGGCCGTAATTTACTGAGAAATTTTGCTGACATGGGGGAAGTTCACCACTAGCAAGTATGTATGTACATGTAAGAGCTTTTGCCGACAAAAACGTTGTTTTTGACGATTTTTGTTTTCACATGACATGATTTTCTAGGTTGCATTTATTGACATACATGTACATGTAATTGCTTTTGTTTGGGTCTCTTTATAAGGAGAGGGGGGGCACAGGGAAACAAGGACCTCCCACTTGAAGCCTTTGTGTCCCATGGTCTTCTAGTAATCACATTCTGACTTAACACAGCACCTATCTTCTAATTCTGCCGAGGAATTCCTATCAAATATTTAGACAAGTTCAGAATGTCTGAGCTTGCTTCCCTACATCATGTGAACTAAAAGGTGGATTGACCAATTTTACGTGCATGTATGTAATGTAGACAAACATGGAAAATGACCACAGGCTGGAGAAGGCAAGCCTAATGTGCTGTGCTGGAGAATAGTATACTGTATGCTCATTTGTTTTCAACCTCTTGTAATCTTATCACAGGTTTCCAGTGCAGAGACTTCAATATGAGGTTAACTCATACACAAAAGGCTAGTCTCTGTACACACTCACTCAGGCCGTGCGTGCGTCTGTGCATGTCTGTAATCAGTGCCCCTCATGCTGCATATATCCCCTAATCTGACAAATTATCATGCAGCACTGGAGCATGACTCTTTCATTAGATGCCACGTTCTCACTGACAATATGCAGCCATCTATCACCCACTCCACCTTCTCTGGACAAATATTGGAGAGAAACTCAATCTGCATGTAAGTCCTAGTTTTTGTACACATGTAAAAGTCTGATAGAATCCTAAAAAAAAAATTTTTTAATCAATCAAACACTTGATATGAAGGCTAATCCATTTCTTTTCATTTTTTGTTTAGCTCCTGTAGGTTTTCAATACTTACAACAGTTGATGTTACTTTAGAATCGGAGATCAAGGAAAAGTGCCCAAGAGAATTCACTTGTTGGAGGTTAACTGTGAAAAACTAATATGTACATGTGTACCTTGCGAGCACCTGAATTTTTCCCCAAAAATTCAAGAAGTAGGATAATCAATGATAGTCTTTCATGATTAGATGCATAGATATACCAATGAAGTTTGCTCGTCAGTCCTGGGGTACAGGCACATAAATCATGGCCAAGCAGGGCCGCAGGTTGAAGGCATACAACGTAGAGCTGCACGCAATAATCCCGTCAATATACATGGACATGTTCATTCTAGGTGTCATCGCTGCAAATTATGTGTACATGCTTGTAGTTTCCCTAACGCTGGAGTTAAACCAATCTTGCTGGAAAAGGACCTCATTTTCATGTTGTTTCATGTACAGTGTATATAATACTTTCAAGATTTCCTATGACGTACATGTACATGTACTGTTGGAGCTGTCTCCCCTTTGACCACAGTGTAAATACCTTTCTACACCACTTCAATATATGTAAGACATTTCCAATACCCTTCTGGCAATGACTTGAACAAATACTGGTACTTAAATCCTGCTTGGTACTGTAGAATCACCTTTCTGACAAAGTCTCTCTAGGGAGGCATGACATTAAGTGAAAGCTGGGAGATCAATCTGAATTTTCAATTCAAGACATCAAATCAAATTTTTACGCAACCGAGGGTTTTTGCAAATGGACGAGACAGAGATAGCGAGTGGGAAATTTTCTCTCCTTATAGGCCTTCACATGTCATAGGGGAGTGCTGATTGTTCCAATATTTGATCAATTATACACGCCCCGATGCAAAAAAATACTTCAAAATTCAAATATTTGAAGACATGGGGAGATGAGAATTACTGAAATAAGAAAAGGAAAATTCAATTATTTGGTTACAAAATTGGATTCTAGAAGCATGTATGGATTTTAAGGTATAACAAGTAAACTTGAAGGAGCTGAACACATACATGTACGGTATAAGGCCAAAATTTACTTTTCCTTCAAATTTTTCTTTATTTTGGTAAAACTTGTACATTTTATTTCTGTTCTTGTAGGAATTTGGTACAACCAAATATTAGACAGGCTGTATGGACAGATAGAAGGTCAAAATATTAAATGTTCAATTATTCAGTAGTCTTTTTCAGGTTTGACAACTCCTTGCTTACCTAACATTGTTCAGTGATTAATTTATTTCAACAAAACATCAGATGGTTAAACAGTGCATGTATGTAAACATATCCCTCCCCTGAAGCTATTAAACATAGCTTTGGTCATTACCCTGTCACCAAGCTCTCGGGAGATGTCCAGGTGCCGTTGGCAGCAGACAATTGCCTCGTCAAATTTCCCCAACACCTTGAGTGTGTTTCCCAGGTTGCCACTTGCCTTGGCCTCTCCAATGTGGTCCCCCAGTGTGCTGGAGAGAAAAATCATTAGATCTTCAAAAAGTCAGAGCGTTATCAATCAGGAGGAGCAGAAAATGGAGGGAATGGAATGGCATTTTTTTCTTCAGTGCAGAGCTGAAAGCCAGTATTCCAGTCAAATTCCTGTTTGCATTATTTACACATGTACAAGTACACGTACATGTATGTGCCACCTGACAGACAATAATCATGTCCTTCACTACATGTACAGGTACATGTACATGTATCTGCTCTGTGCGACAACAATTGAGGGCGCTCAGTGGTTTGAAATAAGCCTTTGTACATGAACATGTATGTGAAAGGAATGCAATCAACCAAAACACATTGGTACCTCTCAAGAGTTGTTTACTATACTGTACTGCATGCCACATGCTGCAGCCTCATGTGCACACATCTAGCAGACATGAACACAAGGACAATCAGAAATAAAAACACCAACATTATCAATTGGTATCGGTTAATACATTGTAGGCCTACTGCACAGGAAAATACTGCTAAGATAAAAACAAATAAAACAACCAAAACTGCATCTTCAAATTATTGAATATTACACATTTTACAGTATACATACGAAAGTACATACGGTACATGTACATGTACATACTGCACTGAGTATGTTAAGTATATTATCAGTAGTTCACATACCGGCACATGTGCTGTATGAGTGGAATGTTGCTCAACAAATTGTTCATAATTGTCTGTACGTGTGTTTTTAACTGATTAGAACATCATACTGTACACATGGTACATGTAAATGTATGCAAAATAGACACATGTACATGTACATTGTAAACATGTACAAAAACATGGACATTTCTGTATAATCACAGACCTAGGAACACATTGTACATGAACAGGCATGAAATACACATGTACATGTACATGGGTACAATTGTAAATCTCCTTATCCAATCTATACAAAGGAAAAAAATTATATTGGCACGGTAAAAACTAATTAATCTCTAAATTACTGTCAACTGGTACTGGTTAATGCTTTTTAGTGCATCCAGGAAAACCCACCACTAAAAGACAACTGGGGGAAACGTGAAGCGACTAGAGGAAATGCTTGCCTTGAAGGAGTTGCACTAGAGGCAATCCTCTGCGTGTGTGACACAAACACCCAAGATACATGTACGTGTACAGTGTACATGTACCTCTGTCTAGACCTCCTGACCAGAAGCCACACAAGAATGGAGGACATGTATGAACATGTACCAGTACCTACATGTACATGTACATGTACATGTAGGTACTACTAACAATGTCCAACATCTGCTGTACAGAGCATACATGTAGCCTCCATAGAGACAATTACATAAAAAAGGTAGACATGTACATGTTCGATATGTGTACATGTACACGCACATGCAGACAGAGAGGGAAAGAGAAGCAGACAATTACTCTCATCCAAAGGGAGATATTGCTGTCAAATTGGATGGGGAAGGGGGGGGGATAAATCACATCTGTAGGCCTCAGTAGAAAGGAGAGATACTAAGCACCCAAGGGACGTTTGCACTTAAACCCTTTGGTGAGGAGAGAAAAATGGCTGTTGTCCATCCTTCCGCTCATCTAAGAGGGAATTAGCACCCAGATAGTGGAGGGCAATTTGTCAAGGTTGTGGAGGGGTTTCATTTTGATTCTCTGCTGACTGTGGCAGGTGAAGGTCTTAATTTGGCACTGGGAGAGTGTAAGGAGATGGTTTTCGGGATTGAAGCTAATATGATGAAATGACAAATACATCAAACTGTGAGGCGAGATAATTGGAACAGAATTGAGGATTGGTGCTCAACTAGAGATAATGCTGTTAAAAACCTCATTACTGAAACAGGACCTCTTCCTAGTGTGCTCCCGACCATTCACACAAACATAATGGAATTCATTAACCAGTTTGCTCAGTGCTTTCACCGCTTTCCAAGAGTTTGTAAGAAAAAATGCACAAGCTTGCTTGGGTGGGTAAGACCACCAACCTACTGCTTGCTGGTTAGTACAAACCCACACTCTACAGTGTTCATGAACCTGTACAAATGTTAGTAATGTACATGTACAGTGTAGGAGAAAATAAAAGACGCGGTCGATATACCGATATGTGTACATGTAAACATGTATTTGTGCATGTACCGAAATGTAGCCATAAGATTTGTGGGATGTACCGATACATATGTAGGTGTACTACACATACAACATTTCATTAAAAATGAAACAAATTTTCAGTAGAATATGTACATGTAGAGAGAGTTGGTTCCGATGATGCCCGGTGGATATGACAAGAGGCATCAGCTTACATGTAGTTACTTCACTTATTAATCTTACATTGAGCACGTATTCTGCCAACAACCATTTTGTGATACATTTGACCCTTTGTTCACTGCACCCTCACAAAAGTCACATTTGCATAAAATTAAATGACCTGTACGGCTGCAAGGAACGATTGCCTGCCCCCATCCAAACATATAAACAAAAACACATACATGTACATGTACACACACGGAAAAGCTTGGCAAAATAATACTAAACGTTCAATAACAAAAGAGAGAAGAGCTCAGGTTACATGTACAGTATGCATGTGCAGGTGTTGCATACATACACGTAGTGGGGACCTCTGCACAAAAAAAGTCCACATAATGTAGGGTATAACGGCACTGTGTGGACTCGCACACGTCCACACAATGTTTCCCCCTCTCTCAAAAACAGTTTCAGGGGCATTTTGGGGTCAAGGTTACCCGTGGCAAAATGAAGAGGAACAGTCCAGGAAATCATCATCCAAAATCCAGCTAGAAAGGAGTTCCCGTAGTTGGAGAAAAAGGAGCATTTTCCTCAAGTTTCCTTGACCACAGGAGAACAAAGGAGTGTCCACCCTTGTACGTGAAACAGGAATGGCTGTGTTGACTTTCTGTTGATGTCTTAAGATGGTACATGTATGTAAGCTCTGCCAATGTGAAAGTTTGACCCCTATTTACAGTACATGTTCATGCTGTACATCATCCACACAGCTAGAAATGTAGACACTGCCAGCCATCAAACTGGGACTTGAAGGCATCGGGGGCAATTTCATTTAATTTGATCCCTGTGATTTGTGCTTTGTTGGCACTGAATAATGCTTCCATAGACAAGATGCTTTCCTACTACAAGCGCTCTTTGCAAATGAGAAATTGCCTTGCCCTAAAGAATGACATTCCTGTCCTGGACTTTTGGGGAAGCAGAAATTTGGTCGTGCTGAAAAACAAGGTGTTCAATACCATTACCTTTTAAGTCCACTTTTTTCTGCACAATTTCCTTTTGTTAGTGAAGTGCGCCTAATAATAAAGTCGGTAACAGTGTGACCGACTTTCCAATTTGGCATTGAAATGCAGATGCCTTTTAGCATCATTGCTGCTGTCAGCTACGGAAAACTGACGTTTCTGACAAGGACAATGAACACCTGTATATATGTGCACTGGAGTACAGCGATGTACTGTACGTCAGCATTGACATTTCTGATGAAATTTCAGGTAAACAAGGATAACTACCGTACATGTACCATACACATGTACAGTGTGTATGTGAGTTTGTTTCTGCATTCAATTGGGAACCCTGAACAATAGCGGACAATAAGGTCCCCAATTGACAGAGGGTCCCCGATTGACAACTGTGTA